CACACACACACACACACACACACACACACACACACACACACACACGTGACGCCCAACCTCCTGTCCAGCGCGACTTCCTGATCGGAGTGCACCAAAGGTTAATAGGGACCCTCACTATTCAGCCCCAAGGTAACACCCCCAACCCTGAAAAGTGCATTGGAGATCATTTTTTTTTTTTTTTTTTTATTTTTTTTTTTGCCCTGTTTTATTTTTGGTTAAGGTCTGTGTGTGCCAAGTTTGGTGTTTGTTGGGGTCTTGGAGTTCACTGTTTTGGCCAGCGCTGAAAAATCATGAAAATCCTGAAAACTGAAAAGAGTGAATTTTACATGCAAACGCACTTTTGCCTTGGGGTTTAAGGCCCCTTTGATCAATTTTTTTTAATTTTTTTTTTGCTGTTGGTTTATTTGGTGTCCACTCTATGGACTGGTGACAAGTCTGGCGTAAAAGGTATGAGATGTTTGTTATAATGACCCTGAAAAAATCCTGAAAATTTAGGGTTTTGTTAACCTCTTGTCTCAGAGTGGGATGGGGGCCCGGAAGTGAGAAAAGGGGTGTCCCAAGGATTTTAGGAAAGTGGGGATGGAGTCCCAGGGTGGAACTAAGATCTCTGGTAGCAAGTTTAGGGATAATGGTGCAAGATGGTACGCGAAGATCGTATCTGGCATTTCATTCTTTGGGGATGGGATTATCGTCTTTGCCAGTTGCGTTGCCGCGGTCGGTCCCTTATCAGGTGGACCGGTGGGACACCATAGCTGTCGCGTTGTTCGAACAGTTGTCGACGCCGCTCGTAACAAGCTTCGGAATTCGACGAGGCTGGCCTTGAGCGGAAGCTGTTTAATCGTCGCTCGACTTCGGTTTAGGTTCGTTGGATAAAACCCGAAGCCCGATACGCCTGGTACCGCTGGCACTCTTCGCACGATGTGCGGGGCCAATAGCCAGCTATGGAATTCCACGGTACCATTGTGAGCTGGTAATATGGAAGGAGGAGATGGAAGGAAGGGAAACTGATATTAATAACGACGAAGCCCGGAGATATGTAATACAGAGTGTTGTTAGTATTCAGATAGTCTGGGCCCCTAGGATCGCTAGTTATGCTAAGTGAAAATCCCCCGCACACAGTCGGTCGTTCTCCGTCAGACAGGGCAATTCCGGTTTCCTCAAGTTTCCCCGCCGTCTAAGATGTTCACCCTCCCAATATTCGCGATACTCCGGGTCTGTAACGAGCGTGAGGCTGAGGGTGAGCCGAGGGAGAGGAGAGAGAGGGGGAGAGTGAGAGCACACACACACACTCACTCACTCGACACGACGGACTCGGACTGAGGATCGGACGCAGACACAGTGGCAAGGCACAAAGTCGAAGTCTTGGATTCCCGAATGCCGAAAACAGCAAGTCACACTGAGTATGAGTACAGCAGCAGAGAACTGGTACGAGACTGGTCCCCGTACCGTACGGGGAGCTGGTATAAGTACCGGTGACACGTACGGTACTAGGGGCATTTCTGCAAGGGCCCCGAGGGCAGAACTGAAAAATGCAGTATTTGAAAGTGGCGCCCAAATTGCAGCATGGCGCCAGTTGTCCAAAATCCTACGGTACCAAAGGAGGGGTTTGGAAAAAGGGTGCCAGGTCGAAAACGGGATGCAGCTGAAACAGCAAAAAGATAGACCAGGGATCGAGCCCTGGCGAAGTCCATAACACTATCCCCTCCCTCTAGAAGGCAACGTCCCGACTGCCAAAAATCATGAAACAATGCTGAAATCTGTGAAGGACGGAACGGGGCCGATCACTGGTTAACAAGTCGAAAGGGAAGAGGGGTATAATGTGGGTGGCAGGGGCTGCGGGAGTGAGAGGGAACAGGGTTTGATACCGGTGAACAGAGTTGTCCTACTGATGAACTAAGGAGACTCATGGTTCGCTATAGGTTAAGGGGGAACAGAGTTCAGGGCACAGGGAAACTTCTATTGATGTTCTACTGGGTAAGGAAAACGGTGTTCAGGAAAACAGGGTATTGCTATTGATGTTGTAGTGGGTAAGGGAAACAATGGTCAGGGGAACAGGGGATGTCTATTAATGTTCTAGTGGGTACGGGGAACAATGGTTGGGGAAACAGGGATCTGCTAATGATGTTTTACGGGGTTGTCAAAGTCAGAAAATGTTTGTTCAGGGTGCGAAGGCTGGTGTGTCCGAAGGAGTCGGAAGCAGAATCTCATGTAGGAACAAAGTGTCCAAGTGTCTTGGAAGGGGGTCTGCAACGGACTTGATCAGGTCTTTGGAGTAGGTGGTAGAAGCGGTCTTCAGCAGCTGCGATAGGTAGAAGTCCAAGAAGCGTAGTAGTAGTTCAAGTGTCAAAGTCCAAGTGTTAGGGTACGTCCGGTACACGAACTGCAATGAGGTCTGATCTGGAAGCAAGGAAGTCGCAGACTAATGCAAAGATCCATGTCACAAGTTGCTGCTCCAGTAAGTCCGCGAGTCGGGGATGCCGGCCAATGAAACAGCATGGTGGCCAAACCAGCTGCATAATTTTCATGAACAGTGAGGCAGCAGGCCATCGTCCTCGTGCGATTGCCATTAGATCCTTTATCGCCGGCGTCACGCAAGTTCACAAGTATTGGACAAGAGAGACAAGGTAGTGGAGAGGACAGATGGGACAAGGCTAGGCGAGGGCAAGGGCAGATCGGACATCAGGAATGAGGATCAAGGGAAGGGTGGACTGGGTTCAAGGGTGTGTGTAGAGCAGGGTTGCAAGGGTTTTTAGCGGGGGTTTATGCCATAGTGATATAGGTATCTAGGACATAGGATTAGCATGATCATAAGAGCGGACAAGTTTCATGGCGTTCTTAAGATTAGAGAGAGGTTCCCATGTAGATTCTTCGTCGGGGTATCCGATCCATTTGACTTTGTATTCAGTGATTGGTTCCGGATGATCAGAAACCTGAGTGGTTCGTCGGCCGATGATGGTTTCGACAACGAATTCAGGGCCTGTGGGTAGCATGATTGGTGGAGGTCTAGGATATGGGCGGTCGGCGAACTGGAGCGGGGATTCATGGTATTCTTTTAGATACTCGACATTGACGGGGGAAGTTTGTTCAATGATGGGGAAGGGACCGAGCCACTTGTTCGAGAGTTTCTTGGACAAGCCTTGTTCGGGTTCAAAGCGTTTGGCAGAAAGCCAGACTTTGTCCCCTACTTTGAATGACACGTCCYGTCTGTGTTTGTTAGTCTTGTTGGCTTGTTGKTCTTSTGTTCTTTCAAGGGCTTCGGTTGCTTCTCTGAGGAGTCTGTTCATTGTTGCTATCCATTSATTGAGAGAGGGGCAGGGGATGGAGGGGCTGAGCTGCGAGGGAAGCAAGAAATCAGAGGGCAAGCGGGGATGGTAGCCAAGGTCGAGGTAGAAAGGGGACATGCCAGTGGAGGGGCAGACAGCATTGTTGTAGGCAATTTCGGCGGCAGTGAGCAACTGATCCCAATCGTGTTGGTGTGGATGACAATACTTCCGCAGGAATCTTTGGAGTGTATCGTTCATCTTCTCTGTTTGTCCATCGGTCTGTGGGTGGAATGCAGTGCTATACTTGAGCGTGGTTCCGTAGGCCGTGAAGAGGTGTTTCCAGAATTGTGAGAGGAAGCGAGGATCACGGTCACTGATGATGTTCTTGGGGAGGCCGTGATGGCGAGCAACATGGTCGAAGAAGAGTGTGGCGACGTCTTTGGCATTGTGCGAGGTCGTGCAAGGGATGAAGTGGGCACGTTTGGTCAAGCGGCAGACAATGACGTAGATGCAATCATGCCCGCGGTCGGTCTTGGGGAGGCCGCAAACGAAGTCCATGGAGATGGACTGCCACCGGTGAGTTGGGATGGGCAATGATTGGAGCTTGCCAGGTTTGGCCCGGTTCAAGGGGTTGACAGCTTGACACGTGAGGCACGAGCGAATGTATGCCTTAACGTTGACGAGTAGGGAAGGCCAGCAGAAGTAGCGGGAGATGGTGTCGAAGGTCTTCTGGAAACCGAGATGTCCTGCGGTCTTGGCATCGTGGTGCTCGGCCAAGAGCTGAGTACGGAGGCCTCGTGCGTCGGGGATGCAAAGTCGGTGACTGCCTTTGGTAATGATGTAGAGGAGATTGTTGTGAAGGGAGTAGTCGGGAACTGAGTCAAGATCGCGGAGCTTGTTATAAATGGTGGCGAAGTCTGAGCAGGAGAGATAGCCTTGGGTGTATCGGTGATGAAGTGATGAAAGGAGTTGAATATGAGTCATGGTGGCGTAGACTTTCTCGTTGGGCTTGTGGTCGGGTCGTCGCGAGAGGGCATCGGCAACGCGGTTGCTTTTGCCGGGGGTATGGCAAATGGTGAATGTGAACTGGGCAAGGAAGTCTAGCCAGCGGGCTTGGCGTGGAGTGATATCTTTCTTGGAGAGGATGGAGGAGACGAAGGTGTTGTCAGTGCGGATGGTGAAGTATTGCCCGTCGAGGTACGGGCGCCAGACAGTGAGGGCGTGGATCACGGCGAGGAGTTCCTTCTCGTTGGAGGGGTAATTCATCTCCGCGGGAAGGAGCTTCTTGCTTGCGAAGGCAATAGGGTATTCGCCAGGTGGAGCCTCGGGGTGAGTGTGCGAGTCCTTGATGGAGGGGGTCTCGGCGGTGTCGCGGGGGAAATGTTGGGACAGTACGGCTCCGATGGCGAAGTCGGAGGCGTCAGTGGTGACATAGAAATGGCGAGTGGGGTCGGCGATCTTGAGGACAGGGGCCGTGGTGATGGTTTGCTTGAGTAAGTCGAAAGCTTGTTGGCGGCGATCGTTCCAATGGAAAGGCTCGTCCTTGCGGGTGAGTTCGTGGAGAGGGTAAGAGATCTCGGAAAAGTTGCGAATGAACGGGCGGTAATAGTTGGCAAGGCCAAGGAAGGAACGGAGTTGGAGGGTCTTGGGTGGGGGGTACTCGACGAGGGCTGTGACCTTCGAGGGGTCCATACGGATGCCTTYAGCGGAGACAATATGGCCGAGGTATTCGACGCTCGAAGYGGCAAACGTACATTTGCTGAGCTTGGCGTAGAATTTTTGCTCTCGGAGGATCGCGAGGACTTGGCGGAGGTGCTGAAGGTGGGACTCGAAGGTGGGGCTGAAGACAAGGATGTCATCAAGGTAGACA